AGCATTCATGGATCCTTCACTACATGGGGAAAAGCAGGTTGATGTTAAACCGTCCTCATTCAAAGTTAGAAAGAGAAAAACAGTGGCATATAATCCATGCAAAAATAATTTTCTAAGTAGGAAAGGACGCTAACATAAAAATATAATGCAGAATATACACTTAAAAATTACTCCTGGAACTAAATGTAGTCTGAGGATCTGGAGAGACAGGAAGAGGAAAGGGCATCAAGGAAGAAAAAAATATATATATAAAGTCATAAAGTCACAGAAATTAAAGTTATTATGAACTGCACAACCACGTACAGTTTAAAATGCAACATGTGGTAACTGTTTCCTAAAGAAGACAAAATAACAAAATATTATACTCAAATGCACTAGAAGAGAGGCTTTTTTTCCTACATGAAAGCAGAAGAAAAGCATTCATATGTTTTGGAAAAATTAACAGAATGTGGTTATTAGTGAAACAAATTCTATTGGTGCTACAGAACTCCAGGATCAAGAACATGTGGGGAAATCACAAAGGAAAAGAAATCAAGCTGATCTCATGTTTCTCTTTAGTAATACCTGATGCCAAAAGGCAATGAGACCTTAAAAAACAACAACTTCAAGCTTCCATTCAAACTGGGTGCAAAGGAAAGTCAGATCACACAAAAAAATATGCAGAAACAGAATAGTCAAGAATTGTTTCTTTAAAAAATATGTATTGTTGAAGATATAGTCCCTACCTAAAACTTTTGACATGAAAAAGCGAGAAATAAGAATGAATTCCAATTAAGCACAGAAACAAATACAAAATTATGTGGTAAATACAGATAAAAGCACTAATTGCTAAGCAGTTTTGAAGAAAAGTTAAATAATGTCTTAAAAACAGAATAACAGACATATAGAAAATCATGGAGCATTATCAGATAACTAAAAAGAAAGGCAAATGAGATAGAGAAGCAAGTAGTATAGGAGACTGGACACTAAATTCTCTCCTATAATATGATACTGAAAAACAAAAATTTAAGCATCATTTACAACTATCAAGGCAGTTCCAACAGAATAAGTGGAAGGATGGGCAAAACAAAAAGGAACAATCTAGAAAAACTGACACTATAAAGGGAAATTTCACAAAGATAAATAAAAGAAAATTTGAACCAGGTGTCAATGGCTCATGCCTATAATATTGGCTACTCAGGAGACTGAGATCTGAGGATAATAGATCGGAGCACTAACATTTCAGGTTTATTATATGGGAATGGAAAATGTTCTCCTTATTTCCCCATTCTGATTAGTAATGTTTATCCTTACTCTAGTTACAATCTTCCTCTCAATTTTAAGGTGCTATGGTATCTACACAGATTATGTGAAATGTTCTGTGACAGGGTTCGCTAATTCAGGCATACTTAGTAGAATAGTGAGGCTGTTTTGTCTTAGGAAACTGATTGCCTGGTATATTCTTACACTGCGCAAATTGCTAGCCTGGTATTCTTAAATTGCACAAATCACTAGAACTTTTATGAAGCCAGAGCAATCACTGTGAGATGAAAATAGGATTCTTCTCCCCAAGCTCAGTAATCATGTCTACAAGAAGACAGCCTTACTGTGTGTCCCACGACATCATGTAGGTATGCATTCTTCACCATGATTTCATGGAAACTGGACAGAAGACAAGTTATCTTTGGGGATGTGGGCTTGATTAGCAGATCATTTCTAAATGCATTTATCAAAAACAATTCGAAAGTCTTTGGAAGGAAAATCAGTTCATCCAATGGGTAAGAAAAAGTGAATTTTTTGAAGATGATATTTAAACTCTATGACACTCACTGTGCCATGAAAGCAGCACCTGTAACTGAGCTAAACATGTAATTTATGGTTGAAAACACAATACTTCTGTTTTAATGAGGCTTTTAATAAATGTGCCAGCGAAACAGGACTAGGTTGTCCCAAGCAAACCAGGAGTTATTTTCACTATGTCTCTAGCCATTAATAAAACTAATAATCATCATATATCTGAACTAGAATGTTCCAGTAAAACTGACCTTAATCAGAGTCAGAAACCACAGATGGCACTAATGCAAGTGACTTTCCCATTCCACCTATATTCTTGGTGTGAAGCATAAAATAGCACTTTTATAATTACATAGCACAGCGATAATTACTATTGATTTTTGAGACTTCCTAAAGGTCAACATTAATTTGGAGAACACACTGAGTTCAATCTAGCCTTTCTCTGAAATTCACTCAGTGGAGAATGACTACCACCATGACAACAGGTTCAGATTTGAGGAAAGTTTGAAGGAAAGTATTTGTTTCTGTTTTAAGATACAGCACACTTCGGTGGAGATCTTGACTCTGGTGAATTGGTGCCTTAATTTTGAGTAGTTTTTTCATTCAGTTTCTGACCTAAGAAGATTTAGGTTGTTGTTTTTTTTTTTTCCTCTTTATTTTGTCAAGTACTTACTAGAGTCTATAGCAGTCCATTCTCTGTCCTATGTGGCAGATAAAGTAACAGACAGAAGAAACAAACGACTGCCATCCTAACTATAAGTACTGCTTAATCACTTGTAATCACTGAGACAGCAGTACAGATCCGATCTTACATCAGAACTACTATGGGACTTAAAAAAAATATATATATACTATGCTTCTCCACATAAAAAATATCTATATGTTAATGTTCACAGTAGGACTATTTACAATGACTGAAAATAGAAACAATAGATTACTTGTAGAATACATATGAAATGGAATGTTCAAGTAAAAGGATTAAAATACTATTTCATGCTTCAACATGGGTAAACCTTGAAAATACTATTTTAAGTGAAAGATCCTAGACAGAAGAGACCACATACTATACAATTCTATTTATATGTCCACAAGAGGCTATAAAGACTATACAGATTAGTAGTTGTCCAGCGCTGAGGCTTTGAGGGGGACACAGAGTGATTGATGATAGGTGCAAGGTTCCTTACTTAAGAGCGAGGAGAGCATTCCAAGTTAATTGCAGTGACAGCCAAACATTTTTTGGACAAAGGAGCAGCCGCCATTGAATTGTACACTTAAACAACTGAATTACTGTACCTGAAGGATGTCAACAGCTGATCAGAAATACTAAGCCTAGGTCTTAGTCCTTGGTTAAGTCATGAGTGGGAATCACGGGATTTTAATACTTAGCCCTGAAAAACCAATAGGATACACTGAATAATTCAAATGTGTTAGTTTTTTCCTTTAAACTATAATTTAAAAATCTGCAATTTTTATTCTTTTTCTCTTTTTAAAGATGGTAAGTTATAGAAATGCAGATAAGCATATTCTTAAAACAGTACACTACAAACAGTATTGATGAACAATCAAACATCAGGGAGGTCAAAGGTGAATGTTTGAGTTTTAGGGTGAAAGGAGGGTTGGTCCTGGGGAACAAATACAAGTCTTGACCCTGAGCTACATCCTCAACGTGGCTCTTTTTTCTTTAATCTTTAGGTTAGACTTAATAAACTGAGGTCTGTATTTCCAAAGGTTTTTGAGGAACTGGTAACTGTTATATAGGATTATCAGGACTTAGTCTGTAAAAGACAGGACAAATCACTAAAAGGAATATATCATATTTCCAAGTCATTTTCTTGACATGTTGGCATCTCAGTGACACATGTGCAATCTTAATCACAGGGACTCAAGTGTGACTTTCTCCTCCACTTTTCAGTAAACCGGCTGGGAGTGAGCGTCATTCAGAAATTCAGGCTAGCAGTGCCAGGCTTCTGCTCTGTATGCAGCGGACCTCTTCCTCTAGGGGCAGGCTGACAGCCTGCTTTGTGCTAGGACCTAGCCTGTAATGTTCCTTGCTGTCCACTCTAAGACAGTGCTCACTGCCTCTGCAGGGACACACACTGCTCCCAGAATCCCACCTCTCTGGATGTTGATGTTGGTCAGGACCCAGTCAGAGGCAGAGGTGGCCTCCTGGATGTCGGCTTGACAGTGTGGTGATGCTTACCTCTGCAGCTCCCTCTGGCATGAGCATGGCATTCCTGGGTTCATCCTTGTTTTGATAGTAAAGTTACAGCAGTATCTTTGAGATCTTGCTAGAAACCACATAAAACTTCTACAGTCATAGAAAAACTGCATCCATTTTTTTAAAATTTAAAGGGTATATTCCAATTAACTTTGGAGATATTTTTGAGAGTTCCACTATCTATTTCTGTTTATGGTAGACTCAAAATACATGATTTTCTAAGTCCCAAAAAAATTGAGAATGGAGTTAAAGTCTAACTGCAATGGGTCACAACCTACTATTCTCCATAAACTCAAGGAGATTATACTGACTCCTGAGTCTAAAGTCAAAGGACACCAAAGGAAATAATCTAGAAGGAATGACAAAAATGCCCATCAAATGTGGGGAGGAAATTTAAGTGAGAAAAAAAATAGTAGAGCTGGGCACCGGTGGCTCATGCTTGTACTCAGGAGACTGAGATCTGAGGATCGAGGTTCAAAGCCAGCCTGGGCAGGAAAGTCCGTGAGACTTTTATCTCCAATAAACCACTAGAAAACCAGAAGTGGCGCTGTGGCTCAAGTGGGAGAGCACTCACCTTGAGCTGAAGAGCTGAGGGACAGCACTCAGGCCCAGAGTTCAAGGCCCACGACTGACCAAAAAAAAAAAAATAGTAGATAGTTGGGAAATAGGATGAATGTTTTACATAAGTTCACATATTTAGAAACAAGGAGAACACATGCATATAAGAAGCCAGATGCTAAGTGCTCTAAAGACGTAGAGACATAGTTGAGCACAAATCACCCTAAGTTTGCAGGGAAGAGGGCAGTGTGAATCCACAAAGCCATGAGACTGAACACAAAGAAGGGCATCATGTATTCTCTTGATGAGTAGACTGGTCACAGAGATTGACTTTAGTTCTGCTGAATGCTGTTGGAGGAACAGCAACCTTTTTCCACTGTTCAAGCTAAAAATGACAACTGCCAGATATTTGAAAACATATATCGACGACTGAACAGGCCATAACAGAATGTGCAGCTGGCATTCATTAAATATTTATTACTTGAATGACAAAATAATTTCATCCAACAATATTTAAAATGTGAGTTTAATTCTTCAAATTTCACATCATCTTATTCCTCTCCTGTGCTCTAGTTTCTAAAAGCTCAATAACTTTATTTCTTATGGAATTTTCTTATATTCATGGTGAATAAACTGGTGATACTATAAAATTAATTTAATTCAAAGTGAAAGGTAGATTCCTACCAGATTTATACTGCTGCCAACTGTCTGGACTGAAACAAATATAAATATCTATTAAGAATGTATAATAGCCTCCAAATGTTTAATGTACTATGTTCTACCACTTTAGATTTTGTTTAGAATGTTTAGATTTTATATGAGACTTAATACCAAGGAAATTTTTAAATTACATAATGGAAGTCTTCAAATCCAAAAGTGTTTATATGTTTATCCTTTGAAATGGCAGGACAGGCATTAAACTTTCAAGAGTAAAAATATCTGTTTCTAAAAGGAATATACCATGGTCATAATTTTATGCTCACATGTCACACAAAGATGGGCTGTTAGTGGAGGGTTATTTTGCACAGTTGGTATTCTTAATTCTCCTTTTTAAAAATTGTTTAAAAAAACGTAGTCTTCATCTTAATCAGGAAAAGAAGTTTGTATTTCTTCCATTTGAAAGCTGTCTGTCCACTCCTGTAGATCTTTTGCATTATGTGTCATCCATAATTTTGTAAAATACTTTAAGCTTTTCCTAGGGGACAAATAAAATATAACTCAGTTTAGAAACAAGATTCCTGAGGACAACCCATCTCATGGAGAGCCATGCAAAGCCTACACCATTAGACTAGCAGGACTGCTGCCCTATAATCCAGGCTCTCAAGTTACTGATCACCATGAAGGCTTCCCTGCTGCCTTCTTAAATCCCTGCCTACTGCAGAGACAATGTGACTGCTCCACTCCTGACTCTGGCCAACGCTGGCTGTGTGTGCCTACTGCATATGGAGACAAAATCATTCCTGCTGAATGGCCCCAGGATGAAAGGCAAAACTAGTTTAATGAAATAAAGCTAGCTAATGAAAGAGTAACATTGCCACAACACAGACCTATGCTTTCCCTGCAGAAGAGCCGCCCAGTGAAACATTCAGGTCTGGGGCTAGATAGAGCATCTGAATTCCAATTGCTACCTGACCTCCAACTTGCTGTGACTGTGGCTCAGCTTCTTGCCCTTGCCTGCACATTCCTCTCAACTATCAGATGGGATAACAACAGTACCTAACTCATAAGGTTGTCTAAGGGTTGAGTCAATGCATATCAAGCAATAAGCTCATTAATAAGATCATTGACCATCCTCTCATAGAGCAGTCAACACACACATTGACTGCTAATACTTGTTTCTGCACACAGTGAGAGTTCAATAAGTCTCAATTATTATGACACATCCCCACCTAAGGTATGAGACTTGATTTTATTTCTTTGATCTCTTTGGCTTAGAGAATTGACATGATACACCCTTTTAGGGAAAGATTAAATAAATACAGTGCTCTGATGAATTATCAGATTCTCAATGTAGCTTCTTTCAGTAATTCTCATGTCTTGTCAGGATACCTTTATAGATTTTAAAACGTCACTTACTAAATGAAAATAATCTGTCGCTTTCCTGGCTACTGCTTCATAGGCTACATAAAGCAACATATATAATCTATCTTATTTTATTGCCAGGTTGTATATGTGTCCTTTGTAGTAGAGTTTTAGTTTCATTTCTTCATTTAAAAAGGACAATAAGACAACAATGAAAGACTTACATTTATCTTTAGATTTCTATAGAGTAATGATTAAGGGCTAGATTTATTTTTAAACTCTCATAATTTTCTGTCTGGAAAAAAATATACTAATTTGCCTTGTAATGGAAATAGACTGAGACTAATTATACCCCTTGCTTCTGATGAGGTGCTGTGGAGCTGATAAAGAAAGCAGCATCAATGGTGGGGGTTACAAATCATTTGCACTATTCCAGTACTTGGGTCTTGGTTAATTATCATACACCCTTTACAAGGTATGGTGGAAGATAGAACCACTGGTTGGAGGAAATATAGAAAAGATGTATTTCACAACAATAGACAAGTTTCTCTAATTTTCCCCTAACATAACTGATAGTCAGCCACGATTTTTTATTTGATCAATAATCTGGTTCATTGGGAAGTAGCATCCTGCCCTTGTCAGATCACACTCTTTAGGCAGGGCAGGAGTTGGGGGAGTTATGTTATGTCATAATTTCTATATTTGAAAAAAAGCTGTAATTTACCATCTATCAATAGATTTAGATTAGTTTTTTATATATATTGGCGGGATGTCAAGGGGAAAAAGGTACAAAACGTAAACAATCTTGGTGACAGAGAGAAGCTAGCTTAGAATGAAAACTATCACAAACAAATCACAAAATAAGTGACACATAGAAACTATGATTTCATGGTTAGTGATACAATAATTTTCCTTCATATCATGACAGAATTCTCAATTTCTGAATGCAATCTCAATGCAGTATATGAATAAAAGAAACCCTCTACAGGTTCTAACTACTGAAGCTTTTTTTTGGTAACTAAATACTAAAGCTTTTTTTTTAATGTAACTGCCTTATGAAGCAGCAAATGTGTTGGCATACATGGAGTTAATTTAATCCTTTAGAAAAATGACTGAAAATCCACTTTCTAACTTAATAAAGATCTAAGTGATCGATAAAGAGGGATTGAAAATGACAAAGTGAATGCATCTGAGAATTGCCAAAAGCTGTTTTTCACTTTACTAATAATTAAATGTTTCAGCATGCAGGAAGAAATGCTTTAAAGTAGATCTAATATTCATTTGCAGGATAATCCTCTTCCTCGGACAACGTGGAAGATTTCATTATAAACCAAAATAAGTACAGCACAAACATTCTGACCTTTTCTTATTTACTAATTCTTCCAGCTCTTTTGACTTGTGGGCTGCTTTCTTTAAAATTTCTTCAGGAACATCTGCTAGTTTAGCCACATTGAGTCCGTAACTTCTTGCCGCAACTCCTCTTGTTATTTGATAAAGGAAAGTGACAAAATCAGGCACCTGTTCATCTTCACCTATGAAATAAAGAAGAAAATAATGGAATTAATACTATATCTCAAAGTTGAGGAAAAACTAGAGGACTAAAGAATTTACAATCTGAAAAAAGTAATCTATTGTTCCTGTCTATCCGTAGCTCCTTCGATCAACTTTACACATCTAGGAAAAGAATAAATACTGTTTTGAAAATACTTTGGCATCTAGGACCTTGGCTTACTTTAAAACACTTTTTGCTGTTGTCCTAGAGATTGAACTCAGAGTCTTGAGTTTGATAGGCAAGTGTTCTTCCACTTGAACTTTGTCGCTAAGGCCTTTTTGTTTTAGGGCCACATAGGGGCTTACTTTTTGACTAAGGGTGGCCTCATACTGTGATCTTCCTACCTCTGCCTCGTGTATAGCTAGTTACCGAATACACCATCATATCTGGCTCTCAAAATTGCCGGGGTTTTTTTGGTCATGGGGCTTGAACTCTGGGCCTAGGTGCTGTCCCTCAGCTCTTCAGCTCAAGGCTAATACTCTACCACTAGAGCCACAGCGCCACTTCTGGCTTTTCCTGCTTACGTGGTACAGAGGAATCGAACCCAGGACCTCATGCATGCAAGACAAGCATTCTACCACTGAGCCACCTTCCCAGCCCTCAAAATTGTCTTTTAACAATGATGTATTACAAAGTTTGAACTGAACTTCCATAGCAAGAAGAGACTAATTCTAATGTCACAATATAATTTATTCCTTCTTTTAAAAGAGATAGGGAAACATTACAGGTTTACATAACAAGAGAAATTCTGGCTGATTAAATATTCTGGTTAAATAGGGATTATACATATTGAAGCGAGTCCTTTTCAGTAACATCCCATCTCTCACCTAGAACTGATGGGTCTAGTTTCACCAGGTATCAGGAAGGCTGCTGGTGTGCAACTCCACTGTGTGCTCTCTGAGAACTGAGGTAGTGGAAGAGAGTTGCCTCACCCAAGGGTATACCCTTCTTAGAGCGGTGGGCATCCAATGATTCACTGCTGTGGGAGCAGGCAGGTAACCTCTAAGATGGCTACCAAATATCCCTACCTCCTACTACTTATTCCCTTGTGTCATTTCCTCCTTGTAAGTGTGGGCTGGGCCCAGTGACTCACTTCTAATGAATAGAAGATAGCAAAAGTTATGAGGCCCCTTCAGATAATGTACTCCGTCTTGGGATTTCTTGTATTGTTGTTTGTTCTCAGGGAAGCCAGTTGCCATGCTGTGGACTACCTGAGAAAGACTCACACAGGAATGGATGTTTCTCTCAATATTCAGTGAGGGCCTGACCCTGACAACAGTCATGTCAATGAGACTGAAATGCTGGCAAGTCGACTACCCAAGTCAAGCCTCAAAGTGAATGTTGCCCTGACCATTAACTTGACCACAGCCTTGTGAGAGACCCCAGCGGTACTCAACTAAGTTGCTCCTGGATCCCTGACCCATACAAACGATGAGGCCATAAATGACTTTTGTTTTAAGTTGCTATTATTCTGAGAAAAATTTGTTGCAAATTATGCTAACCAAGAATAAAACAAAAGTCATAAAAGACATATCTTCTTTTTAAGTTTAAATAACCTGAAGGATCATCCTGGCCTCAAAGCTCTGCCATACATACATGTGAGTTGAAAAGTTTTATTAAAGAAATAAAAAGAATCATAAGGTTAACAATCCAAAGATAAAACTGCGTATAATTGAATCGTGCATAAACCAAAAGCATCTCATAATTACGTACTTTTAATAAAAGTTCAACAAGGTGTTGCAAGATGGAGCATATTTACAATGATTTTCACAACCCTGGCATGTACCATAAATTTATCAAGAACTATTCCTCAAACATAATTGCGGTTGTTAATTGTATGCTTTTTTCCCCCCTGATTATAGGGCTTGAACTCCAGACTTAGGTGCTGTCCTTGAGCTCTTTGCTCAAGGCTAGCTACTCTACCACTTGAGCTACACTGCCACTTCTGATTTTCTAATGGTTAATTGAGATAAGAGTCTAATGGACTTTCCTGACTGGGCTGGCTCAGAACCATGATCCAAGATCTCAGCATCTTGATTAGCTAGGATTACAGGTTGTGAGCACCCAACAAATTGTATGAATTTATTCTTTTATCAGCTAAGAATAAAGAAGCCAAAAACTGAATACAACAGTGAAAGAGGTAGAAAGAACTTCCCTTCCCCTCCTCTAAGAACTCAGCAACAAACAAATAATGTCTTTTCTGGGTGATTGCTATAAGTGGGTGGTAGAAAAAATGCCAATGCACTCAGGGATATAGACTTAAATTTCTCGTACAAAACACTAAGATTATACTGCTTTCAAATGAAACACAAAGTACAGGTGAGGAAGAGGAGGGGGAACCTGGGTATGTAGAAACTAATCCCTGCAAACCCGGAGGGCTTTTGCTATTCTCCAATGCTCACAGATAAAAAGTCAATAGATTTACTTCTTCTTTGCCTATTTGGATCCCCTCTCCATTTGTCTCTTGCCTTATTGCTCAGGCTACGAATTTCAGTGCTATATTGAAGAAGAGTGGAGAGAGTGGACAGCCTTGTCTCGTTCCGGATTTTAGAGAAAATGGTTTTAACTTTTCACCATCAAGTATAATGCTGGCTATACGTTTGCCATTTACAGCTGTTACTACATTGAGGAATGTTCCATGGATTCCAGCTACTTGAGAGATAAAGACTGGGTGACTGAGGCTTGAGGCTAGCTTAGGGAAAAAGAAGTTCACAAGATTCCATCTCAACTAAAGGCTGGGTGCAGTAGCATGCATCTTCTATCCTCAATGACATGGGCATGCACAAGTAGGAGCACTACAGTGCACAAAGCAAGTCCCTACCTCAAAAATGACCAATGTAGAAAGAGGCTGAAGGTGTGGCTAAGGTTGTAAAGTACCTGCCTAGCAAGCCAGAGGCCCAGAATTCAATCCCCTAGTACCACCAAAAAAAAAAAAAAGTAAAACATATATGTTTTACATGTATAATATTAATATATGAATATAAAATATATATACCATATTGTATACACATTCATACAGAGAGAGAGAATGTATATGTGTGTATGTGTGTGTGTGTGCATGTAAAATATGGTTTTACTATGTTGTCTAGGCTAGCCTCAACCTCCTAGGCTCAAGCAATCCCACTGCCTCGAAGCCAAATCACTGGAACCTACAGATCCAAACTTTTGTGCCTTGCTTTTACAATTCTTTTTTTTAATATATACATTTTATTGTAAAGATACTGTACAGAGGGGTTATAGTTACCTGAGTAAGGTAATGAGTACACCCTCCTTTGTTTTTCCCCTACCATCCTTCCTTCTCCACCTTCCCAACTCCTCAATCCCTGACACCCAAGTTGTAAAGTGTATTTTCAACATAATGTCTTTACATCTCATTGTTATAATGCGTCAACCTGTATGCTTATACAATTCTTTTTAATGCATAATAAAGACTATAGCTACATTATAATGTATATTACATTGCCCTGAATATTTTATTAATATACCTGAGTATAAACAGTGGCTGAGTTTGTTACCATATGCTAGTCTCCAATTTAGTTCTCACAATTTAACATGAAGAACATAGCTCCTCTTTTATAATCACCTGGGAAATCTCTGTTTGTAGTTATGCTTTGCCTCAAGTTAACCTCTTGGTGGAGTGTGTGTATGAACATGTACATGTAAGATGGAAATATGGAGCCAAATAAGAGAAAAGATGAACAAAAGCAAGTAATTTCTTTATAGCCTCTCAACAAAAGTCGTTGGTAAGGACTTTACTTACAGACTGTGACACATTCTTTTTTTTTTTTTCTTTTGCCAGTCCTGGGGCTTGAACTCAGGGCCTGGGCACTGTCCCTGAGACTCTTTGTGTTCAAGGCTAGCTCTACCACTTGAGTCACAGCACCACTTCTGGCTTTGTTTGAGCAGTTTATTGGAGATAAGAGTCTCACGGACTTTTCTGGCTTTGAACCATGATCTCAGATCTCAGCCTCCCCTTACATGTGTGAGTCACCTGTATCCAGCTTTTGACTCAGTCTTAAAGTATTTTAAAAATGATTTGACACTAGAGCCACTGAATGTGATCATTTTTATTTCTGACTATAAGGAAACTCAGCATACCTTATTTTAAAGCCAAGCTTCTCTAGGAAGTTATTAAAGAGATACATGCTGATCAAGTCATTTTTAGGATAGATTCATGAAAATTTAGACACATAAAGTTAGTTGAATTGACTAAGATTTTAGAGATGGAAATAAGACTACAACACAGGGTTCCTGACTGCTGGTCCATCACTTCATCACCACACCACTAGGAACAGACAGTGAGAACACCTTGGAACCCATGTCTTTGAGACATTCTCCTGATGGCCTATGAAAGGACCTCTAACTCTGAAGAAGAATCTGGCTAGGGTGAATGGTTTAAGTACAGATATAGCCAGGAACATTACAATGGTTCAATGCTTTAAAATCCTGGGTGAAAATGATTTTCAACCTAAAATTCCCATCCTGGCTGAACTGTCAATCAAATATGCAAGTCTAATTCATACAAAGTTTCAACATTACCTTATTCAGTTCATTCTGACATGCTAGTCTACCTCTTTAAAAAATACAACATAATAAGGAATGAACGCTCTGTTTATTTAACTGAAGAGATTGTGTCCTAATATCTGGCTCTAAAAGTAGATCTTGATTGAACTAGATCTGCCATGTTTGCTTCTAAATACTGGCTTAAGAATAGGATGAGATCCAATTTTTGAAAAGGTGACAGGACAATCAAGATGTTAAATAGCATCTAAGAAAACCATCCTGTTTCTAAGAAAGTCACAAGTGTGGATGGGATATAGCATTTACTTAATATGGACAAAGACCTGGGTTCAATCTTTGCACAAAAAAAAGAAAAACAAAACAAATAACATACAAATTAAAAAAGCAACAGGAAATGCTACGCTCTTTGTGCCTTTGGACATGGCTAATTCGGGGTATGAGGCCTAAAAAACCTATAGTCATCTTGTCCCTAGCCTAATGATGGAGCCAGCTAGGGAGGAAGAGAGAGCTTAGAGAACAGAAGGGGAGAACTTGAGGCTCACTCTTCCTTTGAGGCCCCTGTAATATCACCTTATACAGTCTAACCTTAATGTTTGAGTTGCTCTGAGCCTGAGCATTTTGTTACTGGCAATCAAATACACAGAAAGGCTGGGGAGAAAACTTTCAGGATGTCGCAATAGGACAAGAGCCATGCAGCAGGCCTGGACAGAAACCAGGTCATCTGAGCAGAACAAATGATTCCAGAAGGGAGAATCAGTGGAAACAACCGTTTTAATTATGTGGGATGATGTGGACAGAGACATTTTACAAAGTTCCTGGAGGGTAGGGGAACATTCTTCTTATCTGTGTAAAAACACAAACAACTGTAAAACTAAAAAACTGTACTTTCCTCCATACTTGATTTGTCAGTGGGCAATACTTTGCAGCAACAGTGAAAATGAGGAGCATGAATTCATAATGACTACATCAGGAAGACAGAGGAAGGAATGCTGAAGTCCTCACTAACACAATGAGAAGTCCATCAATAATGTGTCAAAGATGATCAATCAAGAGGTAGGAAAACATGAATGTTACCTGGAAGTTTGACAGAAATGGAGAAAAGAGTTTGGAAAAGTAGTTGCCTTGGGCCTGGATGGGGAAGGGCTCGGAATGAAGAAACAAAAGCAGCTTGTTAGCAGAAGCCTTTTAGCATCATTTAATTTTAAGAATTATGTGCATGGCTAGACTAAAATGCCAAAACATGAAAGGGGAAAGGATACTGCTCTGGGTTAGCAGCCAGTTCACATCAAGTGCCTGTCAATATTGCCTCTGTCCCTTCCCTCCTCATGAACTCTACTTTGTTTGTCCATGGGTTTCAGCTTCTAAGTCTCCTTCTGTCACATTGGATGTAGATTAGTCAAGGCCAAACTACTTCCATGACAGAATTTATGATGTGTTTTTATAATGCTGCGTGGTGGTGAAAAGTAGGAATTGCTTAACATTAAGTTTATCTGAGGCCCAGTATTTTGTTTTATTTGGGCCACTTTCCTGATTTCTTTTTCAGGTCCACACTTACTGCTTTTCCAAAATTAAGTTTGGACTCTGGAGTATATTAGATAATGGATTTTCCATTATAGCACACTAGCTGTGTAAAGTACCACAGGCTGGTAACTTTAAAAAAGTACCAGGGAACTGGGGGAAAATATGCTAGAGCCTACTAGATGACTTACTATACCTGAACTTAAGATGTACTTATTGTACTTGAATTTATTTCTGTTGGCTAATGGTGTTCTTTTTCATAAAATGTCTCATTTCTGTAACAGTAGCAATAAATTGGAAGGCTAGAAAAAATACTGTTGATCTCCCATAGCAGATCTAGCAAAGTGGAAGAAAACTATGCATGCTAGCTCAGTTTATCCCCTACTTAAATGGCTGAAATGTAATAAGATAAAACATATATCTGGTATAGGATCAGGCCCTAGTAAGTAATTAATGTCAACTAAAAGATATCTGAGGGGAAATACTAGACATTTTCAAGGATGACTAACACTTAGCAGATGACTATCAAAGTACCTTTCTTGGGATGATAAGAATTACACTGGAATCTAAGGAACTAAAAGGAACCCAAGTGCCTCCTCCACCTCCACCCACACCTTTTGGATTTAAAGGGTTTCCATTTAAAATGAGATGAAGATAGAGAAGGACTCAAAGTTAGCACATAAAAAACGCATTTTTTACTTGGCCCAAAGTCTAAAGCAAATGAATCTGGGGAAAAAGTTATTCATAGCTGATATTCAGGTACACAATATGTTTATGTTTCTATAAACTCAGCTATCAAACTAAAAGGCAATAACACTGGATTTGAAACTATTACAGGGACATCTCATACCTGGATTCTGTTCGCTTTCATCCTCGTTAACCAAAAACCCCATGTGATAGTTCCCCACCTGTTGGGAGTAACTTTTTTCTAGTTCGCAAACTGGAGGATAATGGGTAACAAACAGGGTTAAAGATTTCACCTGTAACAAGACAACATACAAGAAATGATGTTTTATTTTTTTTAATTGTAAACTGTTAATTCAGGGCGGGAGTATTTCCTGGAGGTAAAGTACAGTAAATACCATATGTTCTTTATCTAGATGACCAACTGGTAATATTTTGCCATCTTCCCTTCCTCCTCAAAGCACACACATGCAGGAATACACACACTTATATGCACACACACAACATACATGAATCATTTGAGATTACTTGCAGACATAATCCCTATTTACTTAAAATTCTGTCTTTTATACAACCTATGTATGATGATAGCATCGGGAAATCCATTACAAGCTGTTGAAAACAGGGTGTGGAAAGAGGGCTAACAAGAAGTTAATCTGCTCGTTGGACTGTATGCATGTGTGTGTGTGTGTGTGTGTGTGTGTGTGTGTGTGTGAGAGAGTGCATAAAGTACACTGTGAAGATCCTTTTGTACAATTAATATATAATCCTAAAAAGAAGGAAAACCTGTCATATAATTTTAAAAATCAAAAAGAAAAAGCCAAACTCAGGGACACGTAAGAACAAGGTAAGATAAAGGCAATGTAGTTTTGCATTGCTTTTTTAGAAAGAAATATGAGCAAGAAAATGTTTTTAATAACTAAGGAAGACAAAAAATGAAAATGAAGAGAAGGGATTGAGACAAAGAGTGAAAAAAGGAGGGGGGAAAAACAAGGGGGAGCTGACTCAGGACAGGTGCTATGAGGGACAGATAGAAATGAAGAAACAGATACAAAGAAAGGCAAACAAAGTAAATAAAAACGGAAAGTTTCATAGAGATGACAGGGATGGACAGCTTGACACAAACAAGTATTTAGACAGGGATTCTGAAAACAGAGGTACGTGTTGAAGGAGTCATGGTTATTGAAACAGAGACTCAGAGAAGAGACCAAAGGTCTAACCTTGAGTTCTTTTAGGGTATCACTGAAAAATGTATTGCCGAGTAGAAATTTCTGAACTATCTCTATCTCTTTCCTTGAATAATTGGGCTTAGATGGGTAGTCTCTATTCTTGATTTATCTTACGAAGAAAATAAACAGTTCCTATATTGCTAGGAGGGCCTTTTTCCTATGACCAGGTTTATTTTGTTTTAGTGAAAGAAAGTAACACACATCTAATGACTAAAAATTATTTACAGCCAATATATCTGAGTTTATTGTGAAGCATTCTCATGATCAATATCACGACAGGTCTATTCTAACAAACAAAGGTAACTAAGCATTTGGAGGCGAAGGTCTAGAAAATAATTTGTGTAGCATGTAAACAAATGGCATGCAAGGATTATATGAAGGTATTATGACCACAGTAATAATAATGATATATCATATATTCAAAATAACCAAGGAATTAAATTTTAGCTGCCTTACCACAAAAGATAAAGTGAGGTGATGAATATGCTAAAACAGCTTGATTTAATCATTCTATAATTTTACCAATACATATGAACTGCCAATTTAAAATGGTGTTAGTTTAAAAATCAATTAACTGTTTTCAGAAGCAGAGGATACTTACATCTCTGATGAAATACTCAAGTGTGGCATAAGCAATGGCAATTCCATCATGAGTGCTTGTCCCTCTTCCCAGTTCATCCAAGATCACCAAGGACTGCGATGATGCTTTTCTGATGATTTCAGCTGTGTCAGTCAGCTCTTCCATAAATGTACTCTGTCCTTTATATATGTTGTCTGCAGCACCCATCCTAGAAATAAGGTCACACACACACACACACACACACACACACACACACACACACACTTTAGGAATCAAAATAATATACATATACATATGTCAACAGTAGTTGAAGTTGTATTAAACATGAAAAGTTTAATGTGAAAAGTACTCAGTATCAAATTTCAGCTTGAATAAACACTCTGGATAGAAGGTGAGGTACTAGACAGCAGATCCCGAAAAGTAGATGAAGTTCTGACTTTGTATTTTTCTGACTAGTGGTTCCACACCAAAATCTTGGTATTCACAAGACAAAACAAGACCTCTCCATGTTGCTATATTTAAAAATCTGTGAGCCACAGCGTTCTGTATGATTAAGAGGGTTTTCCACATTTTCCTAAGAAAATTTCATGGTTATTATAAATTGAAATACCTTTGTAAAACAATTTGCTTGTACATGATAAAACTTTTTACCACAATTAGAATTATAGGTGTTTAATGACCTGGAACAATAGCAAATAGAGATTCCCAAGGTTAGCAGAGTTCCTAGAGATGTCTAGAAATAGGTTCAAAGATTTAAAGATTTCCTTCCAGGAAGACTTCTCAGCGCCTTTATTACTTAATTACACATTGTACATTTCTCTGAGAAGTATCTTTAGCACATATTTTATTTATTTAACCATGGATCTAAAATTTCTTCCGAAGTTATGTGTGGCAGTATTTTTCTGCAGACCATATTCTGGAAAGCACCTACACAGTGTAAAAGGAATCTGAAAAGAAAAGAAGGAATAATGGAGTAAAACTTGCCCACAGAGATGCATGTAGTTCATTGCAGGATCTAAAATACAGGTTTTAGACCCCCTGGCTAGATCTGTGTGAAAACTAGTAACTGTTTTTTCTGCAAATCTGCTCATCAATTTAGTCTTCCATCAAGGTTCACAAAGCACAGCACATATATCATGGCCTCTAGCACTATAATGTACCTTTATTTCTCGAAAATTCCATATTCAAATTGAACACTAACCAGCAGTGTGGATGGAATCTTTTAAGGGCAGGTGTAATAAAGTGTGATATCCACAGATGGGTAGAGCCTTAGAATTGTTCCAATAAGTGACATGTAGAAACTCAAAGGTTTTACTCAAAATACTGTCAGTTCTATTCACTTCAAAAATCAATAAGCACAAAATGTAATGTCAAAACTGCTGCTCATGTAGAACACTCAGAGTTCAAATACTGTGGCCTATTTTAATTGTCAGTATTTCCTGTTACAGTTACAGACCGTTACGGGGATGGAGAACCTTTTTTATTTGCAAAGGGCCTTCTGGATATTTATAACATCATTTATTGTATAGTATGGGCATCCTGGGGGAAGACAGTATTCGGCTCACTTCAGCTATCTTCTAGGGTACAGAAAACTGCCTCAGGTTAAATAAGGAGAATTGAAGGTGAGAAGGTATGGAGAGTTAAAACAGTCTCACAAGTCTGTTTATATTGGTCAGAAGTGATGTCAGAAGACGTCTGACAGTTAGTCCATGGTCTCAGGATTGGTCCAGTAGAGCCTGGAGAGTGGTCTACTCTTCTGGCTTCCCAGATGGCTGCAAAGTGACTGCAGAAGTGAATGGCTCAAGGCAAAGGACAGCGACACAAAATAGAGGAATTGGGATGACAAATCTTTATCCTCCTTCCAGTTCATTCCTGCACCTTACTTCTAAGAGTCAATGTTTTTAAGCAAAAGAAAAGTAACTTAGTAGTTACAGAAAGAGAGGCAAAGGATATTGAGTCCATCTGCAAAACAATCTAATAGCGGTGTTTAAGTTTGCAGATGCAAATGGGAATGAAGTGCTAGCCGTACATATGCATCAGCAAAGATGACTAGATACATGACACTGCTGTTAGGAGTACGGAAGTGAGTATTTTCATACAGGATTAACCAATGTTACAATCTTCCAAAAGACAATTTAGCAATGTCTATTAATACCTTTCATGACCCATAAATTTCACTTTAGGAATCAATATTATGGGTGAAAAAGTCAAATACCTAGGAATAAGGAAGGAGTATATACTACTCTGATTTAAAAAAACTATACAAGCAATAAAATTAATATGTTAAAATTTTGAATAAAACATACAGAATGTAGAAAACACTAGGTGAGTGTTGGGACCTGATTTTGAAAGAGATATACCCAACTGTGAGGAAGTACCCATGGCTGTAAGAATGGAAGAAGTCTTCCAATTAGATACATGAGCATCATCCAGAACTAAAGAAAAATTTTAAGATAGTTCAGGGAAGGTGGAATTATAAAAGAATGAAAAAAAGAAAACCACTACCATAGAGACAATGGAAAAATATATAGTCCACTAAATAGACGTAAAATGCCTCCATTTGGTATTTTTATTGAGATTAAGAACATCAGACTTAAAAAGAAGAACAGTCTAGCAAAAAAGGAACAACTGGAAAACAAAATACCTTAGAAATTAAAAACAAGACCAATAAGAAAAAATTCTTTGTACAGGGGAAATGAAAATTAAATGCTGTAGATTTTAATCTGGAAGATAAATTCCAAAAAAAAAATCTCTTAGAACAATCAATAGAAGGGTTATATAGAAAATACACATAAGCAATTTAAAATTGGAAACCAAACCCTGAAGATTTAAAGCTCACTTTATATAAAGTGTAGTAGTAGTAGACAGAAACAATGAAGGTAGCAAAGTAACTGACAAAAACATTTTTAAATAAAAATAAAGCACATGTTATCTAAACATTCTGATGGAATATTATAATGACAATTTTTTTTTTTTGGGTCCGTTCATGGGGCCTGAACTCTGGGCTTGGGCGCTGTCCCTCAGCTCTTCAGCTCAAGGCTAGCGCTCTACCACTTGAGCCACGGTGCCACTTCCGGCTTTTTTTTCTTTTTGCTTATGTGGTGCTGGAGAATTGAACCCAGGGCCTCAGGCATACAAGGCAAGCGCTCTACCACTGAACCACCTTCCCAGCCCATAATGACAATATTTTTTAACATTTCAGAAAAAGAAAAACCTGGAGAATGAGACTGCTATCTGACTTCATCTACACTGAATGCAGAACAATGTTTTAAAATTCAAAATCAAGATAGCAGTATTTATCTACAACTTTTAAAAGATATAAAGACAAAATAAATTTTCTATTTTGCATTTTTCTAGAATTCAGAAATGTTGTGATCATGAACCCTATGCTAAATAAAAGTACTCAGAAACAGATGTCAAAGAGAAAATACTATTTAAGAAAGAGAATGCCATATAGGGGTTGGAACAATGGGCAGAAGTGAAAAAAATTCAGAAAGAAATTGAGATGTATTTCAGACAGTGATGATTAGAAAATTCTCCTTTGACCAATAGAGTTTAATACATTAGAAAAATATCATATACATATATATACTATAATCTAATGTACAATAATGTATAAGATATATGTACACACACACACACACACACACACACACACAAAGTGAGTAGAGCCTGGCTGGTAAGGCAGGGGTAGAAAGGAAGCCTTTTCTTTTACAATTTGACAAACTCTGTACTACTTCTTGCAATTACGCAAGAACACTGCTTCTTGCTTACGTAATTATAATTTTTTAAAAAAATTATACTGTGCTATTGTTACTAAAAATTGATTGTGTAAAAAAATACAGAAGTTTATTAATATGTCTAGAGTAATTATCCTTGCATGAGAGGATTACTAGTCATTTTCTGACCTTTCCTCCTCCTCCAGGCACCTCCTAAAACATCTGGCACAAAGATGAAGACTGATAATTGAATTTTTTTTTTTTTTTGGTTGGTCATGGGGCCTGAACTCTGGGCCTGGGTGCTGCCCCTCAGCTCTTCAGCTCAAGGCTGGCACTCTACCACTTGAGCCACAGAGCCACTTCTGGCGTTTTCTGCTTATGTGGTCCTGAGGAATTGAACGCAGGGCCTCATGCATGCAAGGCAAGCACTCTACCACTGAGCCACCTTCCCAGCCCCTGATAATTGATATTAAATAAGAGTAGTAAAGTCTTCTTCCCCAACACCTGAGAATTAAAACACAGGAAACAGTGTTCTAACATTGTTATTAACAAGATTTCCCCAGCATTCTTTGCATTACTATCATTAGTGTAACTTTAGGAATCATTTCAAATAAAATATACAGAGCCAAGAAATATACATATATATATATGGTAAATAGATAATTCAGCTTAGTTTAAATGTAAGGCATTGCATCCCATTTTATACAATAGAAACATTTAGGCAGACTGAATTTTGCAACAATATTGAGACTTGCAACAAGTTATTAATTTGGTTCTGGGGATTTAATTAGGACCTCATATAGGCAAAATACAATCTCTACTACCATATGCCCAACCCCAACATTTGGAAATTCTTATTTTAGGCCTTTGGCCTGGAACCTTCCTATATATCTAACTCTTAACATTAAAATTTTAGCTGTCATATTGGGAAAGAAGTTTTAGTTTATATGATGGAATTTTAAAAATTAATTTTTATTATGCTTTTAGTAAGTTATATCCCATAATTAAACACAGACCAACCAGTAACTCCAGTAAAAATCCAGCCAGTAGTTCTGGCTGGTCACTAAGAAGTGTGTCATCTTACCCAACCTGGGTAACTGCTGTGTGCATGCAACTTCCTCACTGGTAAAACCAGTCTCAATGAGCTTCATGATTCCATTTGCACACAGGTGCATAAAGTATCTTGAACATATTCACCTTCCTTTGCCCTCTCTGATACCCTTCCTTCCTCTCATTAGTACTCCCATCCCTGACAGAACCTGTTTTACATTCCTGTCTTAGTCTTAGCTGGCTTTGAAGATGTTTGTCGCCATGTTGTAAGCTGGTTCTGTGATCTCCCTGCAGCTTCAGGAGCTGAGAGTAATCCCTAGGAGACACCCCTCAGGAGGCTGGGGACCACAATCCTGAAACTGCTAGGGAAAGAATTCTGCTAATTGGCTCGTAAGGAGATCCAGTCTGTGTTCCAATCTGCTAGCAGGAGAGAACAAGG